GAAAAAGACAATTATTTAGATTTCAAGAGCAATTATTTTCTTATATTAAAATGTTATGATTTTTCTAAAAAGTTCTTACTTGTTAGCCCTCAAATCCCTAAAAAATTCAAAAACCTCATGAATTTGGGTTCATAAACAAAAGAGTGACATAATTAAAAAATAGCGTGACATCAAAAAAAGATATCAAATAGTGAATTCACACATTAAAGAGTGACATAATTAAAAAATAGTGTGACATACTTAGAAAAATAATATGACGTCAAAGAGTAATATAATTTTAAAAATAATGTGACATCAAAGGGTGACATGATTTTAAAGATAGTATGTCATACTTAAAAAATAGTGCGACATCAAAAAATGACGTAATTTTAAAAATAGTGTGACATCAAATACCAGAAAATTGATGACTCCTCTTATAGAAAACCGATAATGGGTATAAGTGGCTGTTTGAAAAAGATGAATATGAAAAATGAAAATATAAAAAAGAATTATTATAGTTTGGATTAATATACAACAAAAACGTTAATTGCCAAATATATTTTTGTAATCTTTTAAAATTCAAACGATTAATTGCCCATTAAAATAGGAAACGACACATACAATAAAAAAACAATTAAACAAAATAATGCTTGAATTTGTTGGTTCTGCCGATCCTCACTTGACCGATGATGATAAAGTTATGCCGATTCCTACTTGAATCTCTTGCTTTGAAAAAAATACTTAAAAAAATGTTTTTTTTTTTGTGATGTCACCACTCACTTTATATATAGTATACGACTAGACCAACTTTCACAGATCTAGAAATTTTAATATTTTATTGATGTTTATAATTTTGTTGTTGTGTTTTATTCTAATTATTTATGTATTATCGTATTTATTGCTTCATTGTGTTAGTTAATTGGGGCAAATAACTTAATTAAATTGTTAAAATGATCTAAAAATTAATAACTAAAAAATATGTGTTCACCCGATTTCTACCCGACTTCCTATCCGATTATTTTAGGCAAAATTCGGATAGGAATAATACACTTGATTGAGTAAAATAAGTCAAGAAAAAATTCTACATTTGATTGGATAAGATAAGTCAAGAAAAAATTCTTCGCAAAGTATTGAATAAAATGATAGAATACCATAATTCCTATATGTAGGATAAGGTGAACACCCTAAATCCGCCAAAATACACGTGCACACACTTACACACACTAATATATCAAACCACATACTCACAACAGTACACCAAATCATACAGTAATGCACGAAAAACATGCACATTTAACAAATTTTTGAACTATCAACACTAAATTGGCAGAATTAAAAAGTTTAGGTATTAAAATTCAACAAGAAATAAACCTCAAGGATTATTGATACAATTTATCTTTTTTAGGTCCTAATGGTATTACTCTAAGAAAGATATGGAGATCAGATTCCACCAATGAAGATACCGAAAAGTACCTTTTTGGTCTCGCACTTGCATTTTCCAATTAATAAAAATGTGTTACTACATAATTTCTTATTTTATAATTTTTATTACTCTATATTTAGCATTCAAATATCAGTTCTATGTAGTTATCAAAATAGTTTGATTTAATTCAGTACTAAAATTTCAGAAGGTACTAAATAGTCTGCGAATTAAAAATTCAACATTTAATATTTAGTTTTCAATTTTCAATTTTCAATTTTCAATTTCATCAAACAAAACACATTACTCTTAGCATTGACTTGGACTTCTATTACCATTCATTTAGCATTACTTTTTTTTTTCTTATGTGCATGGGTATATCCCAGCTATGTACTCGTGAAAATGAGAATGGAAGCTAATATGGACTAAATTCATTCAGAAAGAATTGTCTTGGTTCCATTGTAAGAATGGATGCTAATATGGACTAAATTCATCAATCAATGTTTTATGTTTGTCCACTTTTTATGCGGACACAAAGAAAAAACAGTCAATTTGAAACACAAATAAAGTTCTATGGGATCCATTTATTGTTGTTTGTTTTCAGGACACCAGATACATCGAAGATGGTTTATGCTAGTTCCAAGGATAGATTCAAGAGAGTACTCGATGGAATTCAAGTTAAGTTGCGGGCAAACATATCCTAGTGAAATGAGCCTCGGCATTTGTAAAAGGCTGAGCATTCTTTTTCTTTGATATCCAACTTTCACTTAATACAATTTAAGCACATTTTATTTTCAGTTTTGCTTTCTGTGCCATACTAAGCATGTGATGTAATGTAATCTTATGTATCACTTTTTTCATGTTCACACTAGCAACATTTCATGTTGGGTATTTTTTTTCGTACAAGTTCTTGATCTTTTTTAAAAATTTGGTTACATCGCTAACAAGATCCAATAGTATCTACTTAATTGAGTACATAAACAAATTGTTTTCCTCTCCCATCTTCTATATTAATTGTTATTGTCACAAACTTTTTTCTGGGAGTTGGATTAAGCGTATTAAGGGTAATTATTGACCAATGTAGCTAGATTAGCAATTTATACTTAGAACTTGTACATTTCATATCCACATACCGATCCTTTGCATATCAATCTACAAACTTAGACAAAGCATGTGTGTTAGCACACAAAATGCTTAGTATTACAAGCTCCAAAATGACCAACTTAAACGTATAGGAGAAAATCCATAATATACACAGAGCTAGTTAAAGCCAAGCTAGAATTGCTCCCAATACATCCCAGTAATAACATAAACTTAATACTTAATCAAGAGTTCAAGAATTACATGCAAAAGCCACTCCATAGCATCATTACTGTTCCTAAAACAGACAACAATCTTTAGCCTTTACAAACATATGCATATATCACCAACAACACAAGCAAATTCAAGACAGTTTGAAAGCATATCTCCATTTCATAACCTTTCTTATAACCAACAAAATCGTTATAGATGAGCCATCACCCAGTAAAGGAAATAAAGTTATTATCCAATTCAATGGCACAATCCCACAAGTAGTACATAGTATCTGGCCATCAATATATCTCAACATATCAATTTCTCAACAAATATCAATCTACTTTGTGGTTTCATTTTCATTGTTTATTAGGGGAATATTTTGTTGTTTTTAGGGACTTGCTTTTAAGTGCACATATTCTGTTGTTTTAGGTGTTTTAATATTCGAGATAGGAGCAATGCAACAACTCAAACGGCATGAACGTTTAGGCTAAGCTTTGGGATTGTTGAGCTTTTAGGTCTGCCACTCTAATGAAACACAACCCATAATTATTTTCATGATTCTATAATATTCGGTACAAACAAACTCGTTTTTATCTAGAAAGGTTTTGCCTAGAAAAATTATTCTAAAGGTAAAGAAGCTTTATATCCAAGAAATTATAATTTTGTCGGCGAAGAATAACAAATAATTTGCAAACCAACGTGAAGAACAAAATTGATCTTATATATATTTTTTGATATGTTTTTAAATTTGGGCGAGAAATTAATTTTAGGTTATAAAAAAGTGAAAAGATTTCCCGAGGAAATTATTTCGTAGGGCAAGCAGCAATCAATTACAGCGCTGCCGTTTGGGGGTCACTAGAGTTTTGGCGAGGAACTTGTTTCGTACGAAAAGGTACCCTCAATTTGTCGCTCAAGCCCCAAATCCATCGATCCCGTTCACTTTTCTTTCGTCAAACCCAATCCTCAGCTCTCTGTCCCATGGCGATCAATCTTCAAGGTCCTCAATCTCCCATGACGTTCATTTAGGGTTGTTATGTTCCGGTCGATTGTTCATTTTTGGCAAGAGGAAGCCGGTTCCAGTCGATCCGTTCATGTAGGACAAGACGAAGCAAGTTCCAGTTCCTTGGAGATCTGTTCGCAGGTGATAGTCTAATTCTAAAATGCTAAAATGCGTTTGAGTTTGAGTTTGAGTTTCGTTCCTCAACTGTAATTTCATCGAGATCTGTTTCATTTTCTGCAGATTTGAGCTTAAACCTACTCTGCAGATTGAGCTTCTTGAATTCTTGACAGATTTTACAGAAGCCCTGCGATTACTAAATCTTGAACTTCTTCAAATTTTAAGCATCCTTCGAAGAAAGGTCAGGTCTGGTGTTGGAGTGTATCTAGCAGTCGTTCTCTACCACTAACGAGTTAGAGCTTGAATGGAAATTGTGGAGAATCAGAAACCCTAGCTCAGGTCTCTGCTCTCCCTCCCAGTCTCTCTCTGCTTAATCGCACGCTCACAAGCATACACACATAGAGACACACATTCACTCAATTGCTTCTTATTCTCTCTTTCTCTCTCGATGGATCAATATGTGTGTGTGGCTTCGGAATCAATGTATGTGCACTATTTCTGTTTTCTGTGTTTAAGGTTTAAGTCTCCGTGAAACTCCAGCAACTTGATCCAGATCATTAAAAGAAGCTGCTCAGGTCCCCGTGCTAAGTTTGATGCCTCCATACTATTATATGCTTATTAAATGCTTTCTCTCTAGTTTAATGCAAATACAACAACTATTATATGTTGCTTTAAGTTTATAACATCAAGAAACTACAATCTCCACTAAAACAGCAAGAAACAATCAGTTGGGACATGAGTTAGTTGATGTTTTCAGCCAGATTATCTTGTCCATATTGTTCCTTCTCACGTTTGTCTGTCTATTTTTGAACAATTGGGATGGATTTAAATTTTATCCATCGAGCTCCATGTTCCATTTCAACTTTGATTCTTTGCATTCAACTACTGTAGTTTTGGTTACAACTCAGAAAAAGACTGTGTTCTGTCATTCTCAGAAAAGACTATAATCTCAGTTTGATTACCTTTAGTGCATTATTTTATAAGTAAAGATGCTCAACAGCAAATCTTATGTTTTTTGTTGTCATAAGGTAGAAGTTGCTTACCCTCTGCCTCTTTGCTACGGGCATATTATTGGTAGGATACTAAGTAACAATTGCACAAACAAGAACAAACACTCTTTAGAAGGCAATGAACTAAGATGCATTACCTCATAGAAGATGATGATGCTTTCAACTAAACATTATTGAATTACTCGACTTTCTTGCGGAACCAGTTCACCTTCAGCATTGCACCTGCATAGATCTGATCCTTTACTTCATCAAGAAGCGTGTAATAAGCAGCATGCGTCCAAGTATTTTTGAAGAAAAGAACACAGCAAACGTCCCAAAAGCTTAGGGCAAATCCAATACCCATGCCATTGTAGAACCAAAACACCTCAGACTCATCTCCATCTTCACCAACATGTGTTGAACCTTGACATGCCTCCTTTTTTGTGCAATTTATTGGGAGGTCAACTCCACAAAGTCCAACATTACCAATGAAGCTTCTTTCGCCAAAGTCATGAAGCCGAGAAAATATTTAGTGCTTATTGGGTACCAGGCTGTCAATGACAGCCAGTAATCATCACCAATCAATGGATGCCACCTCATATTCTGTCATTGGCAGGTACCAGGCTGTCATTGACAGCTGGTACTCATCACTAATCAAGAGATGCCACCTCAATGTGGGTTGTCATTCAATTTTTCTCTCTCCACTGTCTACCTTGAGGTGGCATCAGTTAATTGGTGATGAGTACCAGTTGTCATTAACAACCTGGTACCTGATAAGCACTGAATATTTTCTCTATGAAGCTGGGTGCTTGAAGGTATTCTTCCTGAGAAGTAATTGTAGGATAAGTTCAAGTAATTAAGAAATGTCAAACTTGACATGGTTAGTTTTTTGAGAGATCTGTGGTAGTTCTCCAACCAAACAATTATAAGAAATGTTCAAAAAATGTTGATGAAATAGACAAATATCTCAGCGGGAATGGATCCAGAAAAGTTATTTCTTGAAATGTCTATGCTTCTCACCAGTTTAAGAATACTCTTGTATTCATATTCTCTCCCTTTTGTAACCAGCCAAACACTTTCTCTGGTCAATTCAGAGGCAGTTTTATATTTCACAACCTGAAAATCCGAAATAGTAGCCATTGTGCTCAATTATTGAGACATTTTGGTACAGAACCCGATAGGTTATTATCTGCAAGGTCTAGTACTATAATTGAAGAAAGATGGCAGAAATTTTCAGGGATATTGCCATTATATTTATTAGATCTCAAACGAGGACTCAATATATTTGTCATTTCACCTATCCAACTTGGTATAACTCTTGTAAAGTCGTTTTCACTGAAATCAATGATTCTCAAAGATGTGCAATTAAGCAAAGAGAAGGGCATATACCCTGAGAAACTATTTTCTTGCAAATGCAATGATTGGAGGTTATATTGAGAGCCAACTGAGTTAGGAATGTCACCAAACAGGTTATTGCTCCCCAAGTTTACGTGGCTTAAAACAGACCAGTACATCCAGCAAGAAGGAAGGTCACCTGAAATTAGGTTATTTGATGCGTCTAGGACCTCCAAAATATTAATTTTGTTTGCTTGATAGCACAGGAAAGAAGAAAGGTGTCCAGAAAGAGTATTATTTGCAACATTTAACACTTCAACAGATTTCTGAGTTGAAAAGGAGGGACCCAATTGGAGCTCACATTGAAGAAAAAGTGGTTCCAAGACATATCTAAATGCTCTAACTTTGAGGGCTTAGCATAATGCAAGTCTGAAATGCTGCCTGCCAATGAATTATGACCAAGGTCTATAGTCATTAAATTTGAGAGAAGCGCCAAATCCTTGGGAAGATTGCCGCTCAAGTTATTATTATTAAGCAATACGTGACTCAAGGGTGATAAGTTTCCCAGCGATTCAGGAATAGGCCCATAAAACAAGTTGCCCTGAAGAAAAAGAATCTGTAGATGTTTAAATTAGCCAAGCCAATGTGGGATTTTCCCTGTAAGTTGATTCCAAGACAAAGTTAGATAACTTAATTGTGTAGATTTGACAATACAATTGACATTTTTACCATGTAAAGAAGTTGCACACAGAGGTTCAGAAATAGTAGGCTTGTACTCAGATTACCCAACCAATTAGGTAGCTCATGCTTGAAATGGTTACAGGCAAGATTAAGAACTTGAAGAGATGTAAAATTGATATAACCAAAGGATGGGTAAATGCTTTCGAGTTGACAACCGGACAAGTGCAATTCTGAAAGAGAAGGGAGCATACTCATTGCTTGAAAGTCAGTTAACTTCCTTGTGAAGGTCGACATAACTCATGTCGAGATACTTCAAAGAATAAAGGCGAGAAATCCAACTAAGATTATCTACGAAAAGTCCATAATTATATCCGAATTGAAGGTAAGTCAGCTTCCAGAGATTTCCTTCCTAGTTGACGAGGAAACATCCCATGAAACCCACAGAAAGAGAGGTCAAGATATGTTATACTTTTCATGGAACCCAAAAAACTTGGCATAGGATCAGTATCTCCAAAAGAGGTATGACTCAAGTCCAAGTGGTTCAGAAACTTTAATTCGAACAAAGAAGAATTAATCTTGCCACCTAAGCCCATGAACTTGAGCCGGACAACTCTCGACCGGTAACATTACAGCTGACTCCTATCCAATGTCCATTGGCAACAATCTTCTTGTGCCGACGGCCAAGATGAGACATTGCCATATGGATCAATGAGGTCATTTCTGAAGTTTAGAAGAGCTCTTCTCTTTTTCTTTGTGCAAAGGATGTTGGATGATTGTGATAACATACTAAGAAGGTAGAAACGAACTCATTATCCAAATTAACTAATAGTGTTTGTCTACAATCATCTCGATGACTATTGACCTTGACTTGGACTCAAGCAGTTTCTTCCGGATTTATTCTTTGGCCCCAATTTTGACAAACATTTTATAACCTTATAATCCTTATCTTAGACTTGGTCAAGCAGCTCAGTTTTTAAACATAAATTGAACATCACTGGGAGTGTGTCCAATGTTTTTTGGCTTTACAATTTTCAACTAACATCATGTTGCTATCATGTTGAACATCACTTGCAGCAAACATGAACAAACTCGTTAGAAGGCAAAGAACTCTGATGCATTTCCTCATCTAAATGATGATGATGATGCTTTCATCTAAACAACTTTGAATATTTTTACTATCTTATAAAACCAATTCACTTCATAGATGTTGTTAGAAGTGGCAAACGGGCCGGTTGAACTGGTTATGGACCGGTTCAAAATGAGATGTTTGTAACAACAAATTCAATCAATTTTTAACTCGCTTAATAAACGAGTCATAATGGTTGGGGTTAAACTCATTTACCCGTAAAATAATTTAAACTATCGATATCAAAACATACTAATATACACAAAAAAGGGGTAATTATTGAAATCAAACCCCCAATCATGACCAATATAAAGCTAGATTAACAATTTATACTTAGAATTTGTACATTTCCTAGGGGGAAATATTGATCCTTTGCATATCAATCCACAAACTCAAACAGAAAATGTGTGTGTGTGTGTGTGTGTGTGTGCGCTCAATATTATAAACTCCAAAACGATCAACTTAAACATATAGGAGAAAATCTATAATATTCAAAGAGCCAATTAAGTCAAACTAGAGTCGCTCCCAGTACATCCCAACACGATCATAAACTTAAGACTTACCCAAGAGTACAAGAATTATATGCCAAAAGCCACTCCATAACATCATTACTACCTCCAAAACAGACAACAATTTTTGTAAACATATGTATATATCACCAACAAAACACACAACCAAATTCAAGACAGTTCGAAAGTATATCTCCTTTCCATAACCTTTCTTATGACCTGCAAAATTGTTAAAGATGAACCATCACCCAGCAACGAAAAATAATATTCAAAGTTTCAATTCAAATTCTATGCAACGAACAAAGGGAATGATGTCAGTGGGCTATGATGCAATTCAATGACACAATCCCATAAGAAGTACATAGTATATGACCATCATTGTATGTCTTTCTATCACATCGTTTGTGGTTTCATGTCCGTTAGTTTTAGAGACATACTTAGCTTTAATTGTGAGAATTGTGAGAGAAAATGACTTAAATAAAATTAATGCCTTGTTTGGTAGGATAAAGGAAAAAGGAAGGGTGGAAAGTTGGAGGGATAAATAAAAACATCATGTTTGGTAAGGAAGAAAAATAAGAATGATGAAAAATTAGATGGACTATGTGCCCTTCAAACTACCAAAATCAATTCCTCCAACTTTTAGAGGAAAAGTGAATAAAAAATTAATTATGTGTTTTGAAGTATATGCTATCTACCTATTTATTCTTTAATATATGGATATATCATATTTATCTATTACATATTTTGCATACATTAATTTCATATATAAATATAATGATAAAATAAGCATGTATAATTTTCTATCCTTTCACTATTTTATCCTACCAAAAAAAAAAAAAAAAAAAAAAAAAAAAAAAATTAATCATTTATATTTTTTATCTCTTTTACCAAACACAAAGGAGAGAAGGAATAATTCTTTCCACGACGAATAAAAAATATATTATTCTTACTTTTTATCCTTTCATTTGTTTATTCACCCTACCAAACACGCTATAAGTTTAGCAATTATTGTTCGGCCCTAAGCAGCCATTTTTAATGGTGTAGCATAAGGCGGGCACAGATTAAGACTCTGAGGCACCCAATAAGTTAAGAATGAAGAATCTAAAATTTTTTCAAAATAATTCTTTGCCCTATAGTTCTACTGTTTATCACTGTAACACTAGATCTTTTAAATCTATTTCCTAGATTATGAACTGCGAACGAAGAGTAAGGGTATGATCATGTTTGTAGGTTTGAAACTTTGTTAATTTCCATTGCAATTTTTTTTTTTTTTGCAGTATCGTTATTTCAATCATTCTTGACTATAATTTCTTTTTTTGAAGTTTGCGATACCATGATAATGAAAATTACATGAGGACTAATGTAGCAAAAGATGACAGATTACAAAGTTCATAACTTTGATATATATAGGAACAAAGTAGCAGTTGCAACATGAACAAACACTATTTGGAAGGCTAAGCACTATGATGCATTACTTGTGGAAGACAATTATGCATTCCACTAGACGTCATTGAATTTTACGGGGAACCAGTTTACCTTTAGCAGTGCTGCCACATAGATCTGGTCCTTCAGTTCATCAAGGAATTTGAAATATGCATGCCTCCAACTCCTTTTGAAAAAAAGAACAACACAAACTCCCCAAACTCCCATGGTAAATCCCATACCCATGCCAATATAGAACCAAAACATCTCAGACTCAACCCAATTTTTGTGAACAGGTGTTGAGCCTTGAGATTTGTCGTCTTTCGAGCAATTTATAGAGAGAGGCGCTCCACAAAGTCCAGCATTTCCAATAAAGCTAGTTTCGTTAAGGCTCTGAAGTTGGGTGCTTGAAGGTATTCTTCCTGACAAGTGATTGTATGATAAGTTTAAGCAATCAAGAGAAGTCAACTTAGACATGCTTTGCGGAATTTTGCCAGAAAGATTGTTGTGTGAGAGATCTAGACATTCCATTGTTGTCATGCCACCAATATTCTCTGATATCTCTCCAACGAAGCAATTATGAGACATATTTAAGAAACGTAATCCAGAAAGATCAAATATCTCCGTAGGAATGGATCCAAATAAGTTGTTGCTTGAAAGGTCTATGCTCCTCAAAAATTTAAGAATGCTATTGTATCCCGATTCCCTCCCTTTTGTAACCAACAAAACATTTTCCATGTACGATCCATAGTCGTAGGAATATTCCAAAGCATCAAAATAAACACCATCATCCCAATTGTCTACCATAGCCATCCTGCTTAAATTATTCAAACATTTTGGTACCAAACCTGATAGACTATTATTTGCAAGGTCTATTATTAGGATAGAAGCAAGTAGACAGATTTGTGTAGGAATATTGCCATTAAATCTATTAGATCTCAAACGGAGAACCAACAGATTTGCCATTTCACCCATCCAGCTTGGTATGATTCCTGTAAACTCGTTTTCACCAAAATCAATGAGCCCCAAAGATGTGCAGTTAAGCAATGAGGAGGGTATGTGTCCAGAGAAACTATTTTTTTGCAAGCGCAATGAGTGGAGATTAGATAAAGATCCCATTGAGTTAGGAATTCCACCTGACAGGTTATTGCTTCCCAGGTTTAAATGTGTCAAAGATTGCCAGTATCCCCAACAAGAAGAAATTTCACCTGATAAGAGGTTATTTGATGCGGCCAATACCTCCAAGTTATTTCTTCTGTTCTCCTTGCAACACAAGAAAGAGGAAATATATCCAGAAAAATTATTACTTTCAATATTCAACACTTCAACGTTTGCTGACAAACGTGGTAGTTCACCCTTGAAGTGATTGGAGCTTATATTGATAATGGTAGAATTTAGTAAAACGACAGATATATCACCACGAATCTGGTTGTTAGAGAGGTCGAACCATTCAACACGTGAAACCATGTTCCAAAACCAGTTTGGAGCTATGTCTGAAATTTGTGTATTAGAAATGCTAAGGAGCTCCACAAATGTTTGTGTTTGCAGCCATGCAGGAAATTTTGGACCCATCTTACAGGAACTCATTTGAATAAATTTAAGCTGAAACGGAGGAATCCAGTTGGAGCTTACATTGAAGGAAAAATTGCTCTCAGACATATCTAAGTTCTTCAATTTAGAGAGCTTAGCAAAATGCTCTTCTGAAACGACACCTGTTAAGGAAGTATCTCCAATGAATAACGTCCCCAAATTTGAGAGAAGCCCCAAATTCTTTGGAAGATTGCCACTTAATAATTTATTGACAGAAAGAGATAAAACCACCAAGGACGATAAGTTTCCCAAAGAAGCAGGAATAAGACCATAAAAAGAGTTCAGATCAAGGGCAAGATATTCCAGGTATTTAAATTGTCCCAGCCACTCTGGGATTTTTCCGGTAAAGCCATTGATTCTTAAATCTAGAAGACTTAAGCTGCGGAGATTTGACAAGATAATTGGTATTTCACCTTGTAAGGAATTATCGCTTAGATCAAGAGATAGGAGGCTTGAACTGAGATTACCCAGCCAGTTTGGTACTTCATGTTTGAAATGATTACCAGAAAGATCAAGGCTAGTAAGAGATGTGAAATTGACATTACCAAGGGATGGGTACATGCTTTCGAGTCCACAACCGAACAAGTGTAGTTCTGAAAGAGAAGAGAGCGTACTCATCGCTTGAAGCCAATTGATTTCTTTGCCGAATTTGACTACACCCATGTTAAGATACTTCAAAGAATAGAGGCCAGACATCCAACTAAGATTATCCACAAAAAGTCCATAATTATATCCTAAACCAAGGTAAGTCAGCCTTGAAAGATTTCCTAGTTGATGAGGAACCATCCCATGAAATCCAGAGGAAGAGAGGTCAAGATATGTTAGACTTTTCATGGAACCCAAAAAACTTGGAATACCGCCATCTGAATCTATGAAGTTGTTATAACTCAAGTCTAAGTGACTCAGAAACTCTAATTCAAGCAAAGAAGGACTAATCTTACCTTGTAATTGGGATTTTAAAAATGATTTGATGTCATCATTGAGATATAGTGGATTGCGAAGGTGAAGTCCAACAACTCGACCAGTAACATTATCACAGCGGACACCTGTCCATCGGCAACAATCTTCTTCTGCCGCCGACGACCAAGATGAGAGCCTGCCCAATGAATCAATGAGGCCACTTCTGAAGCTTAGAAGGGCTCTTCTCTCTTTGTCAGCGCAAAGGATGTTCGACGATTGTGAATTGCCGAAGGGAATAAGCAAAATCAAAAGAAGCGCCACAATCGGAATACAACTACTACGAATGTCCATAGCGGAGGCCAAGTGTTTACAATGGAATATTGGATTTGTGTTAGTGTTTCCCCTCAATTTAATAGTCATTGGAATGGACCCAGAAAGAATGCTTGCATTGCACTGCATCACTTTTCATTCACAACTGGCGGAGGTGTCTAGTATGATTTTTCTATAATAATGGTACACCGTTGACCTTGATTTTGAACTTTTCTTACCATTTACTTTTTCAACATTTTTTTTTATAATTACAAGATTTATTCAATCTATTCTTAAAATAAAGAGTATGACAGACATAATCTTTCTGAAAATTATTTAACTATTTCATTAAAATCCTATCACTTGTCATATCATTATTTCAATTAATTAGCTCACTTTTTAATGTCCCAAATAGCATTAATCTAAGCAGAATATGGACATCATTCTAAGGCATACAAATGAATGTCTAGAACTCAATTTTTATGCATGCTACAACAATGTCCTCTTATTCAATTTAATTTTACTTACACGTGTTCAAATTTTACATCTTTGATCAATTCAAGTGTAACGTGTGTGGAATCAAACTCTGACACCATTAAATGTCCGTTTAGATCTAATTATTAATAAAGCTCTACATGAATTCCTAATGCATCATCTAAGTGAATACATAGTCGATTAATGAGTGTCTTATATGCATCTTTTGCTAGTCAAATAAATCTCGAAAGCTTAGGAAACTTCTATGTTCTCGCTTCAAGGCAATCCCAATAAATACTGATTGAAAACTTGCACTTCGAAAATTATAAAAACATGTTTAGGTGATGATAGTGCTCAAAAATGCTCTGCTCAAGTCTAGATCAATATATTGTAAGACAGGGGAGGGGTAGTGTGAATATTCTAGGCTAACAAAGAAAAAGAAGCCTGATGAAATGGGGTCTAAGATAATATATAAGTGGTTCACCCTAACCGAAAGACCAAGGTTACATCTACTGTAATAGAAGTTCTTGTTTTATAGGATACCGTTGACCTTGACTTTGAACTTTTCTTACCATTTACTTTCTCAACATTTTTTTTTATAATTATAAGATTTATTTAATCTATTCTTAAAATAAAGAATATCATAGACATAATCCTGGTAAAAATTATTTAACTATTTCATTAAAACCCTATCTCTTGTCATATCATTATTTCAATTAATTAGGTCACTTTTTAATGTCCAAAATAGCATTATTCTAACAGAATATATAGATCAAATTCCACATGACTATGATTTTGAGGTTCCATTAAGGTGTTGAAAAGTATTTTTTAGTCTCACATCTCCAGCTTTCAACTAATAAAAATGTGTTACTGTATAATTTCTTATTATTTTATAATTTTTTCAGTTAATGGTTATAGATTACCTAATTCAAAATTGATAGTGAATGAAGGGTGGTTTTTTTGCAAAAAAAATCACACATTGACATTGAGTTAGACTTTTCTTTCCATTCATTAAGCATTATTTTTCAATGGTCCATAATGAATGGACTTGACTACCGTATAATCAAAAAAAATTGGATATTATAACTCCAAAAGTTACTATTTTAAATGGTATTTTTATAATTTTTGTGGATCATTTTACAATTATAAAATCTATCACTTTTGTGGTTGATTTACTACTTTTATAAGTGTTTTTATCACCGTTGTAGGTGTTTTTATTATATTTGTGGCAATTATTTTTGCCATTTTTCTTAAGTACAAAAAATTTATTATTTTTGTTGGTTAATTTATCACTTTTATGAGTGTTTTTTTTTTTTTTTTATCACATTTGTGGATCTTTTTATCACTAATATGATAACAATTTTTACAATTTTTTTGGGCACTACAATAATGATAAAAATATTTATAAATATGATAAAAATTACCACAAATATGATAAATTTCGGTATAGTACTGAAATTCAAAATTTCAGTACTATAGTCAAGTCCATAACGAAGTCTCTAAATCAAATTTGACAACTCGAACTTTTGAAGGTGTGGTTCTCCTTGTCTTGGGTCATCATTGACGTTGACTTAGACTTTTCTTTCCATTTTTTTTTTGAACAAGACTTTCTTTCAATTCATTTAGCATCATTTTTAGAAAGAATTTTGCCTTGGTTCTACTGTAAGACTCTTGTTCGATAGGACTCGAACTCTCGACCTGCTAATGAGCTTAAGAAATCACAAACATCTACTTTGTTTTTATTTTTTCTTAACCACCCAAATAAATTCACTTTTGTTCTCTAAAATCATTTCCATGACAAATTTTTTCCAGAATGGTTAATTGCCATTAAAAAAAAACAACGAAATGATTTCATTTCAAAAGGGTAGGATAGTCAATATTGAGAAAATAGAAATAAACCTAAAAGAAAACTATATGCACATGATCAAAATATATAATGAAAATTTTAAATTCAACAATTAAATGCAAAAATATCATTAATTATAAAAATCACACATATTATCAATAAAACCATATCCATCCCAATTTCTTCATCAAGCACATCATTCTAAGGCATACAAATGAATGTCTAGAACTCAATTTTTATGCATGCTACAACAATGTCCTCTTATTCAATTTAATTTTACTTACGCGTGTTCAAATATTACATCTTTGATCAATTCAAGTGTAACGTGTGTGAAATCAAACTCTGACACCATTAAATGTCCGTTTAGATCTAATTATTAATAAAGTTTTACATGAATTCCTAATGCGTCATCTAAGTGAATACATAGTCGATTAATGAGTTTCTTATATGCATCTTTTGCTAGACACCTTATATCTCATAATGGCTTCAATTAACACGATTTTAATTGATAATTTCGATTTTGAATTAGCATTACTCTAAGCAGAATATGAAGATCAAATTCTACATGACTATGGTTTTAAGGTTCCATTAAGGTATCAACAAGTATTTTTTAGTCTCGCATCTCCATTTTTTAACTAATAAAAATGTGTTACCATATAATTTTTTATTATTTTATAATTTTTTCAGTTAATAGTTATATATTAATTAATTCAAATCAATAGCCAAGATTACCTTAGTCTCACCCATAATTTGGTTATATTTTTGAAGTCTTTTCTCCTAGAAGGACAGGGATTCCACACCAACTGATGGGTTAAAGAGTACTCATCATCGGAATTATCTCATAGGCGTTCTTTGGAATCATTTCCATTATTGGTGACATTGACTTGGGCTTTCTTCAAAAGATATATATGATTTACTTGATAATCCATGATTTATCTCAATTATGGTAACAAGTGGCTTGATTTGATGGTTTAGTTTATTTTAGTCCATATGATTAAGGGATACAATTGCATTTGTTCATAAGAAATGCTATTTGAACTTAAAATGGATAGGAGTGAATGAAAAGTGATTGTGAAGAAGAAAAGAAGGGGCATAGTTGCAATAGAGGGGATCCATAATGAAGTGTATAAATCGAATTCAAAGACTCTGAACTTTCAAATGTGTGGTTCTCCTACGTCTTGGGTCACTGTTGACATTAACTTAGACTTTTCTTACCACTCAATTAGCATTATTTTTTGTTTAATGTGCATCCATCCTGAAAATGAGAATGGAAGTTAATATACATAATATTGGGGACTAAATTCAAATATTCGATTCAAAAATAATTATGTGATATGTTGTCTTGGTTCCATTATAAGACACCTATCTTCAATAGGACTCGAATTCTCGACCCCTTAGTAAACTTTAGAAATCTCGACCACCCAATGAACCTAAGGCTTCATTTGGTTAGCGAGAAAATGATAAAAAATTGGAGAAAGATAAAATTTTTAAAATATTCATGTGTTTGGTTAGCATAAAATAAAAAATGATGAAAAAAATAATTTTATTTCATACTTGAATTTTCTCACAACTAATCAACTTTTTTTTTTTTTTGTAAAAAACACAAGAAAATGCAAAAAATTTTATGATATATAACTAAATTTCTATTTTATCTTTATTTTTCTTAAAATATTTTATTGATTATTAATTTAAAAAAATCTTGGTATGAATTTAGTTAATCATATAATTTGGTCCAAAAACCTTCTCAAAATTAGGTTACGAACCGCTTTTTTAAAAAAATTTTAGCTTTCAATTATAATACATATTTTTTTCTTCTTTAGACTGATTTAATATAATTAAGGGTAATTTAGATGATTTTGAAAAAAAAATTGTAACTTTCATTTCTTTCAAACAATAGAATGAAAATTTTTTAAAACGTTCTCGTAAGTTTTTCATGCTAATCAAATATATACATGAAAACATATTTTCTATCATTTTTTTCACTTCAATTTTTATTTTTTTCTCTTTTCATCATTATTTTCTTCCTAATCAAATAGATCCTAAAAAAAAATTGTGATACAGAGAAATGATCAGATACTCTAGTTTGGCCCAATCAAATCAACTTCGTGGAATTAAGCCTCAAAAACATGCATTGTCCATGAATGAAATAATGATCAAAATATGTAATGCAAATTTTAAATTCAACAATTAAATGCAAAAATATCATTAATTACAAAAATCACATATATTCTCAATCAAGCATTTACATCCCAATTTCATCATCAACCACATCATTCTAAGCATACAAAATGAGTGTAGAACTTAATTTTCATTCATCCTACTACAACAGTGTCTTGTCACTCAGTTCAATTTTACTTACTTGTGTTCAAATATCGTATCTTTGATCAATTCAAGTGTAACGTGCATAAAATCAAATTCTAACACCATTAAAAATCTGTCTAGATCTAATGATTAATAAAGTTCTACATGAATTCCTAATGAGTCCTAAGTGAATAATACATAATCGATTAGTGAGTGTCCAATATGCATCTTGTCTTTTTAGACACCCCCATTTTTTTTACATCCCTTCTAATAATAACTTCAATTAACACAATTTTGAATTCTGTACTTTTGAATGTATGCGACAATAATGTGATTTGGGCTTTTATTTATTTTTTGGTTGACAATAAGTAAAAATAATTGTTGAAACTTCTCTGTTCTCGCTTCAAGCCATGGTAGATATTTAGCATTGTTAACGTTAATTTGCGATATATTTACTCTTAATATCCATCATACTTTTGCCCAATAAATACTGATTGAAAACTTGCACTTAGAAAATTATAAAAAAACATGTTTAGGACCTTCTCGGACCACTGGTTCCTATAGCCGAGATTACCTTAGTCTCGCTCATAATTTTATTATATTTTTGAAGTTTTGTCTGCTAGAACGACTTGGATTCCACACCAACTGATAAGGTTGGAGAGTACTCATCATCAGAATTATCTAATAAGGGTGGGTTTTCTAGAATCATTTCCATGACCGGTGACCTCTGACTTGCTAGAATTTTTCTTTTTAATTCTTTCCTGGCGTGAATGGAGTTAAATAGATGCCAGAGTATTTCCCAATTAAGACATTTGAGCAGCCCCAGTTTAGAAGAAATGCTTTTGCATAAAAGCAGCCTCTCAAGATTAAATATTTTGCTTCTCAAGATATGATTTGCACACTTCATTCAAATCATCAAATAACATGAATAAGATAATGCACGGGGCCACACACAAACACTAAACTACAAAATTTCAAACATCTTTATCTATAGGGTTAATCTTATTTTGTATCCCGAAAGATTGTTTGAATTTTAATTTATATTCTTAAAGATCAAAAATTTTAATTTGCACCCCCAAAGATAGAAATTTATATCAATATGCACCCTCAAAGATCAAAAATCTCAATTTGCACCCTCAAAGATAGAAATTTATATCAATGTGCACCCCAATGATAAAAAATCTCATTTTGCACCCTCAAAGATAGAAATTTGTATCAATGTGCACCTAAAAATTAAATTGATAAATTATACCTAGATCCCCTCATACTTGTCACTTAATCATTTAGACCTCTTCACATTTAGAATATTACTCCTACATCTTATGACATTTGTGCACGTATAACATGTAACCCATTTTCATTTATATCTATTAATATAACCGTTAAAAAATATAATTTTATCCTAATAAAAAATTATAATTTCATATTACCCTTTATTTTATGGGTTTAATATATTCTAAAGTTCAAAATCTAGTTTACCATTTGAATGTCTAATAAAATGTAAATATTTATATAATATTTTTCATATTACCTTTTATATAAATATCTACATTTTATTAGACATTCAAATGGTAAGCTTGATTTTTAACTTTAGAGTATATCGAATCCACAAAATAAAAGGTAATATGAAATTATAATTTTTTATTAGGATAAAATCATATTTTTTAACGATTATATTAACAGATATCAACGAAAAGTGGTTATGTGTTACACATGCACAAACGTCATGAGATGTAAAGGAAATATTTTAAATGTGAAGGAGTTCAAATGATTAAGTGACAAATATGAGGGGATCTAGGTATAATTTATCAATTTAATTTTAGGTGCACATTGATACAAATTTCTATCTTTGAGGGTGCAAATTGAGATTTTTTATCTTTGGGGATGCACATTGATACAAATTTCTATCTTTGAGGGTGTAAATTGAAATTTTTGATATTTGGAGATACAAATTAAAATTTAAACAATCTTTTAAGGTACAAAATGAGATTAACCCTTATCTATATTATAAAACAGACAAACAGACGGTTTCGACGAACAAATTCAATGACCTAAAATTTATTCTTCCAATAAACACTAATACTTCTTCCATTTCTTCCCAAATTCGTCTCTTTGCAGTCATATTATTTTCAAAATCAAACCGACCACAATCACTTCATCAGCAACACCACCACCACCGCCGCCATTGCTTACCCCTCCCAGGTATTTTCAAAATCAGATCCACACACACAACACACCCTGAGTACAAGCACCCACACATCCTTGCACACATACACATACCGACGCACAGCCCCACACATCCATCTATTTTCTCAAAGACCCACCACTTAACTTCACACTCACACCCATACACACCCCTGCACACACACACACACACATGCAAATTTATCGCACCCATCCACCCATCCAATTTCACNCCCATTTTTTTTACATCCCTTCTAATAATAACTTCAATTAACACAATTTTGAATTCTGTACTTTTGAATGTATGCGACAATAATGTGATTTGGGCTTTTATTTATTTTTTGGTTGACAATAAGTAAAAATAATTGTTGAAACTTCTCTGTTCTCGCTTCAAGCCATGGTAGATATTTAGCATTGTTAACGTTAATTTGCGATATATTTACTCTTAATATCCATCATACTTTTGCCCAATAAATACTGATTGAAAACTTGCACTTAGAAAATTATAAAAAAACATGTTTAGGACCTTCTCGGACCACTGGTTCCTATAGCCGAGATTACCTTAGTCTCGCTCATAATTTTATTATATTTTTGAAGTTTTGTCTGCTAGAACGACTTGGATTCCACACCAACTGATAAGGTTGGAGAGTACTCATCATCAGAATTATCTAATAAGGGTGGGTTTTCTAGAATCATTTCCATGACCGGTGACCTCTGACTTGCTAGAATTTTTCTTTTTAATTCTTTCCTGGCGTGAATGGAGTTAAATAGATGCCAGAGTATTTCCCAATTAAGACATTTGAGCAGCCCCAGTTTAGAAGAAATGCTTTTGCATAAAAGCAGCCTCTCAAGATTAAATATTTTGCTTCTCAAGATATGATTTGCACACTTCATTCAAATCATCAAATAACATGAATAAGATAATGCACGGGGCCACACACAAACACTAAACTACAAAATTTCAAACATCTTTATCTATAGGGTTAATCTTATTTTGTATCCCGAAAGATTGTTTGAATTTTAATTTATATTCTTAAAGATCAAAAATTTTAATTTGCACCCCCAAAGATAGAAATTTATATCAATATGCACCCTCAAAGATCAAAAATCTCAATTTGCACCCTCAAAGATAGAAATTTATATCAATGTGCACCCCAATGATAAAAAATCTCATTNGAGGGTGTAAATTGAAATTTTTGATATTTGGAGATACAAATTAAAATTTAAACAATCTTTTAAGGTACAAAATGAGATTAACCCTTATCTATATTATAAAACAGACAAACAGACGGTTTCGACGAACAAATTCAATGACCTAAAATTTATTCTTCCAATAAACACTAATACTTCTTCCATTTCTTCCCAAATTCGTCTCTTTGCAGTCATATTATTTTCAAAATCAAACCGACCACAATCACTTCATCAGCAACACCACCACCACCGCCGCCATTGCTTACCCCTCCCAGGTATTTTCAAAATCAGATCCACACACACAACACACCCTGAGTACAAGCACCCACACATCCTTGCACACATACACATACCGACGCACAGCCCCACACATCCATCTATTTTCTCAAAGACCCACCACTTAACTTCACACTCACACCCATACACACCCCTGCACACACACACACACACATGCAAATTTATCGCACCCATCCACCCATCCAATTTCACACACACACACTCACTTACTTTTACAGTCTGGTCGCACAAGACTTCGGTTGTCGATAATTATCGAATTTCGAAAATTGACCAATTACTTTGGCTTAATTGGACTAAATTAATCGATTGGAAAAATGAATATAGATATAGAAGATGCGGTGGAACTTGGGGGATAAGAGAAAGGGGTAGCCCTAGAGTCTCGGCCCTCACCAGCCTGTGTTGTGGCGTCCTTAGATTATGTCGTTTCTCTCAGAAGTGTTCACTCTCTACACCATTTCCCTTTATTTTCTCTCTCCACGTTTGTGTCTCTATGTAGCTGTTTATGAATGTATGTGATTGTGTTTAAACGATATGTGGTTTTGAAATGAAATTTGAATTTGAATGGATGCGTTTAAATTCATTTATTGAGATCTAGGTTTAAGGTTTTGTTATGGGTAACAATTTTCTTTTTTGATTTGAAATTCTATGTTTGGATTTGGATTTAATGTTGAATTGGTTTGTTTTTTTGTTTTTGCTGTGGATTAGGGTGTTTGGATTTAATGTTGAATATTTTTTTGGCTTTCTTTTTTGCGGTGGTTTTTGGTTTTTTTTTTGTGGATTTAGATCAGGTTTGATACTTTTCACACCCTTAACGGCTAGCCACCCTCGATCCTGTAGCAGAAAAAAAAAAGTTAATAAATTTTTGCTCATTGGAAAACTTCTCCACTGAAGTTTTGCGATTTTCAGATCAATGCTTAGGGTTTTATTTTATCTTTAAAAAAAAAAAAAAAAACCACCGCAAAAAAGAAATCCAAAAAAAAATTCAACTTTTTTTATTTGTCTAGCATAAGGCGGGGCCAGATTAACGAAATTTTAGGCATAACAAGAAGAACAAAGTAACAATTTCACAAACATGACAAAACACTCTTTAGAAGGCAATGAATAACGATGCATTACCTCATAGAAGATGATGATGCTTTAGACTAAACATCATTGCGTCTCCCAATTTTCTTGTGGAACCAGTTCACCTTCAGCATTACAGTCACATAGATATGATCCTTCAGTTTATCAAGAAACATGAAATAAGCATGCCTCCAAGTCCTTTTGAAGAAAAGAACACAGCAAACGCCCCAAAAGCTAAGGGCAAATCCAATACCCATGCCAATGTAGAACCAAAACACCTCAGACTCATCTCCATCTTCATCAACAGGTGTTGAACCTTGAGATTCCTCCTTTTTTGTGCAATTTATTGGGAGAGGCGCTCCACAAAGTCCAACATTACCAACGAAGCTGGTTTCGCCAAGGCTCTGAAGCTGGGTGCTTAAAGGTATACTTCCCGAGAAGTAATTGTAGGATAAGTTCAAGTAATTAAGAGATGTCAAATTTGACATGGTTTGAGGAAGTTTTCCAGAAAGAGAGTTTTTCGAGAGATCCAGAGATTCCAATGATGACATGCCCCCGATATTCTCTGCTATCTCTCCAACCAAGCAATTGTGAGAAATGTTCAAAAAACGTAATTGAAAAAGATCAAATATCTCAGCAGAAATGTATCCGGACAAATTGTTGCTTGAAAGGTCTATGCTCCTCACCAATTTAAGAATGCTACTATATTCAAATTCCCTCCCTTTTGTGACCAATCGAACATTTTCCATGAACAGACCATTGCTATATCCATATCTCAAAGCTTCAAAATTCGAATTGTTTAATGTAGCCATCGCACTCAAATTATTGAAACATTTTGGTATGGAACCCGATAAGCTATTATCCGCAAGGTCTAGTATTAGAATTGAAGAAAGTTGGCAGAAATTATCCGGGATATTGCCATCAAATTTATTAGATCTCAAACGGAGAACCAATAGAGTTTTCGTTTCGCCTATCCAGCTTGGTATGTCTCCTGTGAATTTATTTTTACCCAGGTCAATGATACCCAAGGATGTGTAGTTAAGCAAAGAGGAGGGTATATAACCAGAGAAACTATTTTCTTGCAAGCGCAATGATTGGAGGTTAAATAGAGAACCTAATGAAGTAGGAATTTCACCAGACAGGTTATTGCTCCCCAAGTTTAAGTGGGTTAAAGATTGCCAGTACATCCAGCAAGAAGAAAGTTCACCTGAAAAGAGGTTATTTGATGCATCTAGGACCAATAAATTATTTTTTTTGTTTTGGCATAGGAAAGAGGACAGGTATCCAGAAAACGTATTATTTGCAACAATTAACAATTCAACGTTTTCTGACAAATATGGTAGTGGACCCTTGAAGCGATTAGAGCTTAAATTGATAAAAGAAGAATATAGTGAAATGGTAGATATATCACCACCAATCTGGTTGCCAGAGAGGTCAACGATATCCATAGATGAAGTCATGTTCCAAAGCCAATCTGGAGCTATATCTGAAATTCCCGAGTTTGACATGTCAAGCCACTTAACAGATTTTTGCGTTCTTAGCCAGGTGGGAAATTTTGGACCCATCTCACAGGAACTCACTTGTATAATTTTGAGTTGAAAAGGAGGAATCCAATTGTTGCTCACATTGAAGAAAAAGTGGTTCCCAGACAGTTGTAAATACCTTAACTTTGAGTGCTTAGCAAAATGCATGTCTGAAATGCCACCTCCCAAGGAATTATATGAAACGTATATAGTCTCTAAATTTGAGAGGAGCGCCAAATTCTTGGGAAGATTGCCGCTCAAGTTATTATCGTAAATATATAATTCCACCAAGGATGATAAGTTTCCCACTGATTCAGGAATAGGCCCATAAAACGAATTGCCGTCAAGAAAAAGATGCTGTAGAGATTTTAGTTGCCCCAGCCAGTGTGTGATTTGCCCGGTAAGTTGATTCGACCTCAACTCTAGATAAGTTAAGCTGCGGAGATTTGACAAGATAATTGGTATTTCACCTTGTAAGGAATTATCGCTTAGATGAAGAGATTGGAGGCTTGAACTGAGATTACCTAGCCAGTTTGGTACTTCATGCTTGAAATGATTACCAGAAAGATCAAGGACAGTGAGAGATGTGAAATTGACGTTACCAAGGGATGGGTACATGCTTTCGAGCCCACAATCGTCCAAGTTCAGTGTTGAAAGAGCAGGGAGCGTACTCATCACTTGAAGCCAGTTGATTTCTTTGCTGAATTTGACTGCACTCATGTCGAGATACTTCATACAATGAAGGCGAGAAATCCAGCTAAGATTATCCACGAAAAGTCCATCATTATTTCCTAAATCAAGGTAAGCCAGCCTCGAGAGATTTCCAAGTTGATGAGGAACCATCCCATGAAATTTACACCCAGAGAGGTCAAGATATTTTAGACTTATCATGGAACCCAAAAAACTTGGCATAGGATCATTATCTCCAAAGGAGTTACCCCGCAAATCCAAGATACTCAAAAACTCTAATTCGAGCAAAGAAGGATTAATCTTGCCTCTTAAATCCGTGAAATACAAGCTGAGCTCGATAACTCGACCGGTAACATTATCACAGCGGACTCCTGTCCATCGGCAACAATCTTCTTGTACCGCCGACCAAGATGAGAGCTTGCCCGATGAATCATTTAGGCCATTTCTGAAGCTTAGAAGGGCTCTTCTCTCGTTCTCAACGCAAAGGATGTTTGATGATTGTGAATTGCTGGGAATAAGAAAAATCAAAAGAAGCGCCACAATCGGCATACAACTACTACGACTGTCCATAGCGGAGGCAAGTGTTTTTACTAATTTAGTGTTTGTGTTTCCCCACAATTTAATAGTCGTAGGATTGGACCCAGAAAGAAGGCTTGTATTGCATTGCATCGTTTTTCTATATTATGGGACACCGTTAATCTTGACTTTGGACTTTTCTTACCATTTACTTTGTCAACATTTTTTTAACTTTTTTATAATTATAAGATTTATTTAATCTATTCTTAAAATAAAGAGTATGATAGACGTAAGGTAATCCTTGTGAAAATTATTTTATGTTTTCATTAAAACTCTATCACTTATCACATCATTATTTCAATTAATTAATTCATTTTTAAGGTCCCAAATGACATTACTCGAAGCAGAATATAGAGATCAAATTCCACATGACTATGATTTTAAAATTCCATTAAAATATCAAAAAATATTTTTTTAGTCTCCCATCTCTATTTTTCAACTAATAAAAATGTGTTATCATATAATTACTTATTATTTTTATAATTTTTTCAGTCAATGGTTATACATTACCTAAGTCAAATCGATAGTGATTGAATGGTGATTATCAAGAAAAAAAATCATTGACTTAGACTTTTCTTTCCATTCATTTAGCATGATTTTCCAATGGTCCATAATGAAGTGTCTAAATCAAATTCAAAAGCTCTCGATTTGGAAGGTGTGGTCCTCGTTCTCCCTAAACCCAGCCGCTAAATTCTTATTTTTAAAATTCAGTCAATTTTTAACTTATATCTCAAACCCGACTCTTTTTTAAAAACATCATTTGTAATGACGTCTTCTTATTTAAAAACGTTATTTTACATGACGATTTGAAGTTGAATATTTATTTACAAAAACGTCATTACAAATGACGTTTTTAAAATCGTCATTTTGTAATGACGTTTTGTAACAAGAACGTCTAACGGACCTCTAACAGACGTTTATAAAAAATATAGGGAAGAAAACGTCATTTGCAATGACGTTTTTAGACCTTTTATGTTATTTAATGACGTTTTCTACCCAAAAAGTACCACCAACTTACAATAAATGTCATAAAAGTTAAATAACTCCACTTTATTGTCTCATACCATGATTCAGCAGTCAAAACATAAAAAAATAAATAAATTTTAGAATTTAATTTCCTTAGCGTTTACTTTGACGTTTTCTACACCTTAGCCTTTTACATTGACATTTTCTACCCCAAATGTCATAAAAAGTAAATAACCTATCTCACATCATGATTCACCAGAAAACAAAATAAAAAAATTTTAGAATTTAATTTCCTTTGAAATTTTTTTTAACTAATTTTATAATCAAAAATAAAATTCATAAAAAGTATAATTTAATTTCATATTATATATTTAAAAAAAAACTTAAAAGCGTATTTTGAAAGCACAATTCTTCTATCAAAAAGTATGTTTTGTATATGTTAAAAATATCAACATTTTAATCTCAATTTTCACGTCATAAAAGTATCCCAATGTGGAGGATCTTTTCCCCAAACCTAGTCGACTCGAAAATTTTATTTCTCAAAGTCAAGTTTTTTTAAAAAACGTCACTTTAAAAGCCTATAAAAGTGCGTTGAACTTTAAAATATGGAAAATATTACTTATGGAAAAACGTTATAATTTTTAAATATTTTTGTATATGATAAAATAGTATGTATTTCAATTATATGCTATAAGTCAATTGAACATTTATAGTTGACCTACAAAAGTGTGTTGAACTTTAAAATATGGAAAATATTACTTATACATTACAACATTAAAAATTTTATTACATCAAACTGTAAGAAATATAGTTTGTCAATATTTTGCTTGATGTAGAAAACAACATAGAGGGTTTTCTAGTACACATAAACTCAATGGAATAAAAGTGTCAGACGCATCATCACTTAAATCGGAATAATCAGATAGTTCTATACCCGAAACAAATAACGGATCCTGCAAAGTTTCAATCTCAGCATACTCAGGATCGAAATGCTCAATTTTTGCATGGTCGATTGCATACAAACGATCAAGTCTACGCTGCATTTGCTCATTTTCACGTTCAAGTCTTGCTATGATCTCGTTATGGTTGGTGGAATTTTGTGGATCATATATATCAGCCGAACGTGTCTTCGGTACCATTAATCCATGCCAACGACAATATACTTCAAGCTCACAACATTTGTCATATAACTATCGTCATCTTGGTGTGGGTTTGATACGAACACTCGAAGGCGGAGAGTCAGTCGCAGGCCCCACAAATACGTGTCTAACTTGACCGAATGAGTGATAAGGGTCGATGAGGTCATTACGGAACTCACGCTTTTGTCCATACCAAGTTACATCGGTAGAATCTGTGTAGGATTCAATTGAACGAATTACGTATACAGCACATGCTGCTCGGTTAGTGTTGTTTTGTGTAGATCATGTTATTTTAGTGTTAATTTGTACATGTGAAATGTAATGTACGTGTAATGTTGTAGTCATTTAAATTTGTTATGATGGTGAAGTTATGTATGTGACAACTTGATTGAAGAATACTATACCAAAACATCTTTGTGTAATTGACATTGTATATACAAAAGAAAAAATATGTACACAGTAAAAAAAAAATGCATCAAATACATGAACATCATATCATGTCCCACACGTAGGTGGTCGCCTACGTCGCTTCGGCTGTCTGCGAACCTCTTGCTCAACATCTTGTGATACATCATGTGTCACCTATGACACACCGACATCATCATCATGATGTGCATATTGTGCAACGCCCTCTGCCTATCCCTCGCCCCCGTCCCTGACCTTGTCGTCCACCTCTAACCTGCGGTCCGGCTCACACAATGCCTGCACCTACAACTGTAGGCTCCTGTGTCACTCCTTCCCCCATCTAATAATGGATCTGATACGAGAGGCTGTGTAGATAAGGTAGGTATCGAATCAACAGCAGACGGTGTGGGGGTAGATGTCAATGCCGGTGCCAGTGTCGGGGTAGATGCCGGTGCCAGTGCAGGTGTCGGGGTAGATGCCAGTGTCTGTGCTGGTGTCATGACAACAGTCGGTGCCAGTGTAGGTGTCAGGGTAGATGATGATGCCAGCGTAGGTCTCGGTGTCTGGTCAAGTGCAGTAGTAGGTGACGGTCTCAATGTCGGTGTCGAGGTAGCTGCCGGTGTCGGTGTGAGTGTTGATGTTGGGGTCTTTGTGCGTGTATGTGCTGTTACCGGTGCCAGTGATCGTAGATGATCAAGTGCAGCTGCCGATACTGGTCCTGGTGTTAGGGTAGATGTTGGGATCGGTGTAGGTGTTGGTGTCAGTGTTGTCATCGACGTGGATACATGTACCACTCCTGGTGTCACTAAATGGTCAAGTACAGATGCAGATGCTGGTGCCGCCGTGGGTGTCAGTGTCGGCGCAACTAAAGGTGTCAGTGTAGGCTCATGTGTCGACCTAGCGGTCGGTGTAGATGTAGACGATATGTCATCAGTCGATGGTGTATGAGTTTGTACCGATGCTGAGGGTGAATATAATGGACTACTCGAATCTCGGTAATGATGAGGAGGTGGTTGTGCAGATGTAGACGGTACTGAAGCTGCGTCAAGTCTTCGGTGCTCTCGAAGAGCTGTCAAACACGATGAGCTCATATCTGTCATACGCCCAATGGTGTCCATGGTACATGCAAAGTCCGGACTACCCTCATATGTAGTACGTCCAGTGTGATATATCTGTGTAAGTGTCTGTTCCTACAAAAAATATTTCAAAAACATTATAAATGTATTAAATAGTTTGTAACATTATCACTTCAAATTTAATAGTTAAGCATTCAACATCTTACCAGAAGTTCTATGATGCTCCCAACAGGCTGAAAATTGACAGTCGACCTACCGATGGGTGGACCAACAAGACATCGTTTGATCCGACGATACCATTGCATGTATGCGTCGGTCGGATTCATTGGTCCAGTACTCAGATCTCCGGTAACGATAGTATCTCTACGATGTCCCCACATCTCTGTGTAGATCTGATGAACTACTAACCAATCCCGACCAGATCTACCTCGACGGTTGACAGCATGCAAGGCCCAACTGGTATTGCATGGCGGTGGTATGCGCTGAATTAGGCCAAACTGTTGAATAACCCGATTTAGAAAATGCCACTCGACAACATCGAAGCAAATCAATGGTGCTCATGTGCGCCAAATATCTTGCCTAATAAGGCAATAATCTGGCAGGCCACCCAGTACATCAGTTGTATACAGCTCCCATATCATCTGTAATACAAATTTTGAGCACTCATAAATAAATTTAAAGGTATTTTTAAAAAAATTGGGCAGAGTCTCCTTTGAAAATTGGACATTTCCAAAAAAATTTTACCTGTATACAATAAATCCAACTCAATCACAAGTATAAACAAACCCACCTCAATCACAAGTATAAACAAATGAAAATAACATCCCACCATTTCCACATGCATTTACTTCACATGTTGCAATCAACCCAACACACTAACAAACTTTAACAAATAACATCCGAGTTCTCTAATCATAGTCAAGCTGATATTTCTGATCCTCGCGCATCTGGTCCCGATAGTAACGTAGTACATGCCGGGGGTGTGTGCTGCTCTGAAAATGTAACATCTTATCTATACATTTAAAAAAAAATTTAACTACATAATAAGATGTAAAATATTTAAATGCGTGAATTGTATGTATAGTACAAACCTACAACCAAGTGGACCGTCAACTACACCGTGCCCATCAACCTCAGCATGTGCAGGGCCCAAATCGACATCAACTCCTTCTAATGGTGGACCATCACCATCGAGCACCGCTGCACCATGGGCGACCCGCTGTCGGGGTAACACACGTTGTGGAACAATGTGTACCAGACGCTCTCATGCCCACAACTATATCCACAAACATTGAATTTACATTTGTAAAATGACAAGAACATAAAAGTATACAAGTAAGTGAAGAATGGAAGCAATTACCTGAAGTAAAATAAGTGAACTGCGAATATCCTTCGCGTCCCGCTTAGT